GTGTGTAAGTGTATGGATCTTTATGAAATTGTACTGCAAGGTTCCATATCACAAAGGGAAAGCTGGGTTTGAGTTTGGGGGTAATTGCCCTAAACGTTAAGGAATTTTTGGGCCAAAAAACAAGCATTTTTCTAGTTACCAGACAATAACTTGTGTTCTCTGAAATTGTACTGCAAGGTACCATACCACAAAGGGAAGGCTGGGATTGAGTTTGGGGGTGATGAATCATAAGGGGGTTCAAAAAATTTGGGGGGGGGGGGATTTTTTTTCCCTTTTTTTCTTTAAAATTTTCCATTTTAAATTGGTTATTTCTGATTTATATATAAAAGCAAATAATAATGATATGGTTTGAATAGGTAAATTAAAAATTTTTAAGTTCTTAGACCACTTTCATTCTGTGTCAGAAACCTATGCTGTGTCAAATATTTAATTACAATCCAAATTCAGTGCTGTATCAAGCTTGAATGTTGTGTCTATACTTGCCCCAACTGTTCAGGGTTTGACCTCTGCGGTCTTATCAAGCTGCGCCCCAGCGGAGCATTTTATTTGTAATGTTAATTTCTCTCTTATTATGAGTAATAGGATAACTATATCTGGTATGTGCATACCTAGCAAGGTCCTCATGTCTGTCAGACAGTTTTCACTTAACCTCGACCTCATTTCATTGATCAGTGAACAAGGTGAAGCTTTTGTGTTGAAGTCCATATCTCAGATACTATAAGCAATAGGTCTTCTATATTTGGTGTATGGAATGATTATAAATTGCACATGTCCAACTGGCAGGTGTCATTTGACCTTGACCTCATTTTCATGGTTCAGTGGTTAAAGTTAAGTTTTTGTGTTTTGGTCTGTTTTTCATATACTTTATGCAATAGGTCAACTATATTTGGTGTATGGAAATATTTTACGATGTACAAGTCAGTCTGGCAGGTTTTATTTGATCTTGACCTCATTTTCATTTGCTCAATGTTTATTTTTTTGTGTTTTGGTCTGTTTTCTCAAACCATTAGCAATAGGTCAACTATATTTGGTGTATGGATTGACTGTCTATCAGGCATCATATGACCTTGACCTGATTTTCATGGTTCATTGGTCAATGTTCAGTTTTCCTGTTTAGGTTTGTTTCTTAGAATACTATATGTAATAGGTCAACTATATTTGAATCGTAGAATGGTTGTAAGGCGTACATGTCTGTCTGGCAGGGTTCATCTGACCTTGACCTCATTTTCATGGTTCATTGGTCAATATAAAGTTTTCATGGTTTTTGTCTGTTTCATGTATACTATAAGCAACAGTCAAGTATATTCGGTGTAAGGAATGATTGTAAGGTGTACATGTATTTCTGGTTTGGTTTATCTGACCTTGACCACATTTTCTTGGATCATGTTAAGTTTATGTGATTTTTGTAGTAGAGCTTTATATTTAGTACTATTAACATAAAATCAATGGTCAGTAAAATAGGCGAGACATTTCAGCATGTCTTGTTGAAAAGTTGTTTTTATGGTACTTTTGACTTTCTTGTGAATATAACAGAAATAACACGCAAAACCGAGTTTAATCAAGTCAGACTAGTGGAAATAGAATATTTTTTATAATTGTCCATGAATATTTGATTGGCCTATCATCTAACCAAATCAATAGTTCTGTATCTTACTAAGATTGAAACTCTGTTCTTTAAACCTTGTAAGGAGTTCAAATAGAAATTCATTTTTTAATATTGAGTCAAAAGTAAATGTCCCATTTGCAGCCCTTATAGCCATGTATTTGTTTAGGTGCATGAATTAAGTTAGACAGAAAACAAATTGTTTTTTACAATCTATAAACTCCCCAAAACTGGCAAATCTATTCAAACTACTTATTTCAAATTTTGAAATATTTCAAAAATATTTACCTCAGTTAATAAAAAAACAGTGCAGTTTTTTGTATGCTATATATGGCATATTTTTCACGGTAAGTAAGTATTATACTTTTTGTGTAAATTATGACGAGCGTAGCCAGGCAAAACAATTTTGTTAAATTTAATGCAAAAAAAAAAATTTAGCCAAAAAGGTAGGGCGGTCTTTATAATGCCCTCTGTGCCCCCAACCTAAATCAACTACTGCTTAATGAGACACTACTTGTTGACAATGATAAGCCAGACATGACTATACATGTCAGCTTACCTGTAGTTTGAATTTGAATTACATGAAAGCCAATTTTGACACGAATCTCAAAGGACGAATCTCAAAGGACGTTTTGCATGTCACTGAAACAAATTAAAATGACAAAAGTAAACAATAGAACATGAACTAATAGACAAAATTATAGATAAGTTAAAATGTATTAACAAGTTTTAAAAGAAAATTTTGCATGTTGCACTGACAAAATGTACATGAGCAAAGAAAACAACAAAACATGAAATAATTGACAAAAACCCATAAACAAGATGTGCAAAAGTTTGTTTATTTAAATGACAACTAAATCCACAATGATGTGATGGTTCTATAAGGGATTCAGAAATCTTCCAGTGCAAAATAAATCCACTTTCATTGGTAAAACCATTCTCTGAACTTCCTTGTATATGAAGCCTCATTACCAGATTTATATCGGTCAGCTCATCAAGAATACAGATTGAACAGTGTGAAAAATTATTTTAGGATTGTATGGGCTCAGGCTACAAAACTAATTGACTGATTACAAGGACCAAGATGGGAATTACGCTTCATTAGGACAAGTTTTCATTAGATGAAGGGGAAGAAAATTGCTTTAAGAATATATTTGTTATGAAGAAAAGTGGGTGGGTTAACTTTTAGTTGGTCAAAGAGATAAATGAATCCGGTACACACCATCTTGTAAACAATAAGTACAATGTGAGCAACAACAGCCTCACAAAATAAATCAGAAAGAGTTCAAGCTCTCAGTATTAAAATATTACCTGGTACTCAGATTGTACTTGAAAGTTTATGATCACTAGGCCAGAAGTTCAGTTTAAAATTGTTTTTTTGAAGTTATAATTTCCAAGAATATTATTCATCTTATAAGGTACTTGAGTTTTCTAGGAATTTATCAAATCATATTTCATGGTATATCCCTACATTGGCAAACCTATCAATAATGCAAGATATTTTTTCTGGAATTTTGATTGATTTAGTTTTCACCGGTTGTCAGTATGTTATTTGAGAGAAACTGAGAAAACATGAAATTGTGGATAATTTGTAATATTAACGTAACACATAAATGACATTGGTCAATAAGCTAATTTCTGTTTTTCATAGATTTTTTCATCATTTCCCTTTCTTTTTTGACATATTCGTAATGGATTAGTTTGGCATCAGTTTTGATGTTCTCTTTGCCATAAAACACAGAAATCTGTCTGGTTCATCAAATCAATATACAAAAATATTTTGTTGATAAATGGCTCTCTGTTGTTGTGGGTCAAAACCTAAGTGTCGGCTTGTTTGGTTGGGATATTGACAGAAATATATTTCATAAAGTATATTTTATGCATGATTAATGGGGTTTTAGTGCTATTGTTTATGTTATATTTGTCCACAGTCTTGGCAGAAACTAAATTTTGTAGTTGGGAAAATAAAAAAAGAGGTCATAATAACCTCTTTGAGACTTTAGAAAATAAATATTTCATTGAATGTTCAAAAATGAAATTGAGGAATGACAATTTTCAAATAAGAAGGTGTTTACAAGCTAATTGCCCAGTTCATAAATGTGTGATGGACTTTTGAAAAATAAAAGTTAAGTAACTATTTTGTTTATATGAAATGTACACTCCAAAGTAAATATTTCATGTAAATGCATGGCTTTTACTAAAACAACGAAGAAAGCTACTAAGGAAGTTAGTATTTTGTCTTGACATTTAGATGTCTTTCGATTGTTTTTGTAGTTGGATGTCGCTGTCTCATTGATGTATACCCCACGTCTCCTTTTATTTATATGTAAACTTATAGCTCCTTATTTGTGTTGTTTATTGGGAGGGTCCCCATAAGTAACATAGTTTGTCTGTGGGTTCTGAGTGCATCATAATGATTGAAAAGACTTATTTGTGTTGTATATTGGGAGGGTCTCCATAAGTGACATAGTTTGTCTATGGGTTCTGAATGCATCATAATGATTGAAAGGACCAAACAATTGTGACACATGTATGTCATCCATTAAAATACATGAGGAGGGTCTGGATGGGGTTTACAGAATAGAGAAAAATGGGCCAAAAAAAAAGATAGAGACTAATGGGGTGCTAAAATATAAAGAATAGAGAGTAATAGACAAAGCAAATATTAAAGAATAGAGAAAAATGACATAACAAATTAAAGACTTCAGAAATGAAGACCTCCCACACAAGACCCTTGTATATAATAGTATGTACTTTTTCACTAACTGCTTATTTTACTGTTTTTTTTTGTGTGTATATAATGAAGTTTTACCTTCATAATGCTGCTCCATGTCATAATATTAGCCATTAAAATGCCTTATCCACTTCATGTCAGAAAAAGTTCCCCAAAAATGTACTTTCTCAAGATTGTTTCGTCACAAGACAAGGACATGGATATCAAATTTAAGTACATTATGTAATTACGACTCTTAGTTACTGAGTTAGACAGATTATCTTGGCAATAATCTCTAAGTAGGTACAAAAGAGATGGCACTATTCTTTACAAATTATTACAAGACAAACACACACACAGTCATAGATAACTGTCATGACTTGTGTAAATTCAGAAATTTTTGTGACTCATATTCTAAATTTTGATATCATTTCCCCAAAAAATAAATCACACATTTAGATTTAAGTCCAATGCTCTTCAATCACAATAATAAAATCATGATAATATTTCTAAATCTAATGTACTTTTTGATTGAGACAATATAGTGAACATTAGATGATTTTTGGATGGCATTCATTGTTTGGTTGCTGTCAGCATTACATTAACTTTTTATCTTTTTGGATTGCATTTTTTTTTTGGTTGCTGTTGCCATTACATTAACTTTTTAATCTTTTTGTCCACCAGGAAAGATTGGTTTACAGGAAGACACAGTAGAAAGTCTATTGTCCACAGCTTGCCTGCTTCAGCTGTCAGAGGTAGTTGAAGCCTGCTGTAGTTTTCTGATGAAACAGCTTCACCCATCAAACTGTATTGGTATCAGACAGTTTGCAGAAATTCAGGGATGTACAGACTTGTATAAAGTAGCAAACAATTATGTCATGGTAATTATTACAATTGTTTTTCCTCTTATACTCAACAAAATAATACTTTCTTAGAATGTTTCTTTATTTTTACATGTGGACTTACTTGAACTCAGTTCTTCAGTGGTCAAAATTCTAGAATGAAGTCACATTTTCTTGCTTTCTTCTGATTTCGCTATTACAATTATTAAGTGTGACCATGCCTGATGATGTCTCACAGAAGAAAATAAAATCTGTTTGATGATGAGTGAAAAAGAAAACTTCCCTACATACCAACTAAATTTATATGGAAACAGATTCCACCACTGTTTCCCACCAATAGATAATTGAGAATTGTGGCAATTGCCTTTGAGACAAAATATCATTGGAATCTATGAAAGGAATTACTTTATATTTAGTCTGCAGTTTGATTATGATAATGTTGAGTTGTAGCATGTAAGCAATTTTTACATACAACAGGGAGCCACTTCCTTTTTGTGGATAGTTTGAAATTTTAAAATATTCATTGTACAAGGAAAGTTTTCACTTTTCTTGGCTGCTTTGGAAGGGAATTTTTTATATTTTCTCTGCAGCTTGATAATGTTGAGTTATAGCCTGTAAGCAATGTTTACATCTGTCGTACAGCCACTTCCTGGTTGCTGATAGTTTAAAATTTTACAGCACTAATTGTTTAAGAAAAGTTTTTATCAAGAACTCTTATGATTTTAGGGAATGATCAGTTATCTTCAGTTGAGGGAGGGGGGCTTAGCAATAAAAGAAGAAGAAGATGTGGTTTGATTGCCAATGAGACAACTCTCCACCAGAGACCAAATGACATAGAAGTTAAAAACTATAGGTCACCATACGTCCTTCAACAATGAGCAAAAGACAACTTTAGGAGTAGGACTTGAAAAAAAGTCAATGCACTAACCAAAAAAATAGCTCCATAAATGTGTCTCTGGTTTGTTGTTAAAAAGTAAGTTATTTCAGGATATATTCATATAAATATCACATAAGTTATGATACATAAGTGAAGAATATAAAACTTAACATACATTGTATGAAAAAGAGGACCTCAAAAGAACAGCTAATATTAAGTTAAGCTGACTCATAAGTTAGACTTTATTCTGTTTGATATAGAAGAAGTTTGTGTCTGTAATTCAAAATACAGAAATTCATTGTCTTTATACTGTTTTCTTTGTGACATAATTCAAAATACAAAATGTCTTTGTCTTTGTTCTGTTTTCTTTGTGACACATACTACCCAGATGGAACTACTACTGAACAAAAGACTACTAGACTTCAGAATTATGTAATAGGTATTTAACCTAGCATTGCTGACGTAGAAAAAAGCAACATTTGAAGGCTTTAATTGTTGACAGCCTAATGAACTTCATTATCAGTAAAAGCCAATGTCAGAAAAATGACATGAAAATATTCTTTGTACGAAATGTTAGTAAGAAAATGAAGCCATAATCTCATATTCATATCTCGTATGTCATAATCATTTTATATGATGTGCATATTGCAAATTCTGCAATTTCATAACTCCACACTAAAGTGCCATTCTTTAGGATGTTTTGTGAATGGAGCTATTTCATTGAATTACAGCATCGTGTGGTCTCACTAATTTCAAATCTGTACATATATTAAAAGAACATTTACAACACTTATGCATGCATTATATTTTGACACTTCCCATATGCCAAAATCTGCAAGTTTGATGCACTTTTGTACTATTCATTTATTATTTTCTTTCACTATCAACTAATTAGAAAAGAACAGATATGGCAAAAAGGTATATGAGATCAAAATTTACTGAGGAAATAATTTCATTCATGTTTGTTAAACCAATATGGCCAGAAACAAGTCCAAAGTATTACAAGGTTGATCAATTTTAGGACCAAAAAAATTTTGGGCATGGACCATCTCATTTCTTGTGTTTCAATTTTTTTTTTTAAATTCTTTGTATCATTCTACTGGTTTTCTTGCTGCTATGCATATTTTTTTAAGTAACAATTTATATGTACACCATCCATACTTTTAAATCTCTTTATATTATCCTAAGAATGAAAAAAAAAAATGTAAATTTCCCTTTTAAAGTATTTCCATCGCTGCTAGGTTCATTTTAATGATTATGAAATTCAGACTTGTTGTTACTCATCAATAGTGCATAATATCGCAATAGGTTTTCAATTACATCCGCCCACTGTCTTTTTCTTCTGGTCTCCCTGTGCACCAGTGGTAACATTAACTGTCATTTGTTACAAAAAGTTAAGTAATAAATTTTACCACAATAAAATAGAAAGATTTTCTATATATATCATTAAAACATCCCCATGTAATACAACTACATCAATGATTATTGTTGCTGGTTAGATTGGTCTCATGTTGCTTTATTAGTGATTACATAACAACTTATAAATAAATCTTCATTGATTTTGTTCTTAAGTGACAGTTTAGAAATTTAATCTAGATTAATAGAGAATACTTAAAATATATTGAATTATATACTGCAGAGCAACTTCGACTTTCATTGTTAGTCTTTTTAAACTAAAAATTTTAACAATATGATAACCAGGGCCTTATACCATATCAAGAAGGGATTTTTTGTAATTTTGAGAATTAATGGTTGTTGTGCTGTAAATAAAACCTTCTCAATTAAATTTGTTTTTTTTTAATTTGGAATGAATTGGTAATTATATGAAATTGAAAATGGTTTTTAATTTTCCATAGACAATATATATTTTACCAAAATGTTAGGAAGTTGAACTAAGTTTTTACATTTTCCAAGTGCCAAACCATATAATTCAATTCCAATCACTCTTAAACCTAGTCTGCCTCATGGTATACTACTATAGGTGTGGCATAAATAAATCAATTTGTAAACAAGATAGAACATTTTTTTTAAAAACAAGAGAATTCTGTCAGTCAAAACTAGATAGGAATGTATGATAGGAGAAGACATTTGTAAGAGGTATTATGATACTTAGAACATATAAGTCATCTTGCTCCATATACTTACCATGGTACATGTAGCAACAGATTCTGTGAGTGTGTAAGACCAGGCATTTTTTTAACACTTAAAATATTGAGTGATTTCCTACCTTTTTTTCAATGTTAATAGATTTCTATATAGCTGCCTGGACTTTGATGATACCTTCAAGTGAGCATGCTATTATGTGTTATATCTTTTTCACATCCATCACTTATCAACTACTGAATTCCCCCGAATACAGATAACAAAGGTATCATTATTGAGCAAAAGCTCAATGATCAACAAATTTGTCTTTCTCAAAGTAAATTTGTTTATTTCCAGGAAAACTTTGTACAAGTTATACAGAATCAGGAATACTTGTTGTTACCCTCTGATGAAGTTTGTCGTCTTCTTGCCAGCGACGACTTGAATGTCCCGGATGAAGAGACAATATTCCATGCTTTGATGATGTGGACCAAACACGATAATACTAACAGGAAAAGATACCTAGCCAAACTACTGTCACATATAAAACTACCTCTTATGTCTCCACAGGTATGTTTAAATCATAAAAAGTTATTTATTGCGGTCAATTATAAAGGCATACTTCTTTTTACAAGTTTACACACTATTTCACTATAGAAGGGAGATGACTCTGTAAATCATACAAGTGAATAAAAACCATTCTATAAATTGTGATGATGATAAGATTTCAACAATGAAGATGCTTATTGATTGGTCTAAAGCTGCTTTCTGGTATGATTTTTTTACTTCCACAACAATTTGAGGCTGCAACAATTTGCCTCAAATTGTAATGTAGGCAATTAATCGAAAATGAAAACAATTGTCAAACTGTTGTGTAATTTTAAAATGAAAAATATAAAAAAAAAAGTACAGACATTTAGACAGTTGCTGTCAGTTTTATTATACTATCAATCTTTTTGCAAGTTAGATCATTGCTACAAATGGTTATGAATGAAAGCAGGTGTGAAGTAAATGTCAGTGAGGCAGCAACCCAATGACATAAAACACCAAAAAAAGAGCACATTAAAGCAAAGAACTACCGATAGTTTAAAACATAAGTTTATTTTATAATACAGTTCATTGCTGATCATGTGGAAAGTAACTCAGTTCTCCATGAGGATAAAGAATGTCAAGCTTTGATCATGGAAGCATTAAAATACCATCTTTTACCTGAACGTCGCTCATCATTCCAAAGTCCTAGAACTAAACCTAGAAAATCTACTGTTGGCATTATGTATGCTGTGGGCGGTATAGATTGTACAAAAGGTTGGTGCAGCATTAAAATTTGATTTTTGGGTTAAAGATTGCATTCAATTTTCGAGACCTTATCACTACTTTTGAGAGCAAAAAAAGATATAGTAAATTGGTCAGAACATTCTATTCATTCTATCCATGAACTTTTAAAGAAATTTATCAATGAAAATATAAACTCAAGTTACAAACTGATGTGTATGTGTATTACCATTCTTGGCAATAGAATTACATAAGTTGCACATGGTGCATGAAACAATCTGCTCTAGAAATATCAATGATGTTGCTGTTAAAGTAATATTTAGAATTGGAGTTATCTTCCTTTAATATTTCAAATTTTATTAACCTGAAGAAAAATCGGTTATTGATTTGGGTTTGTACGGCGGGCGTGCTGGCAGGTGGACAGGCTTGCGGGCGGCTGCCAAACAGTGTCCGTTCATTAACATGAAAAACCCTTTAACAAAATCTTTTCAAATTTAGATATGTTGTTTCCTGTGACTAAATGAAGGTCAAGTTCAATTTTCACGATTTTAGCTGTTCTTGTTGTTAAGTTTTAGACCTTTTCAGTAGCAAAAGTGCTTATCATTATATATATATATGATTTATTCAGTTTGAGTTATTTCCCTTTGAACAGAAAATTTATAAGTATATGGATAAAATTAAACTGTGTTTCATTTCAACATAAATTGAATATATATATAGGGTTCTTTCAAATGCTGAATCTAAACCTGTATTTAAATATTGGATTTTTGGGCCCAGTTTTCAAGTTGGTCCAAATCAGGGTTAAAAATTAAACTTTGTTTGATTTCAACAAAAATTGAATTTATGGGGTTCTTTGAAATGCTGAATCTAACCATGTATTTAGAGATTTTGGGCTCCTTTATCAAATTGACATTGAGGTCTGAAGGGTCCTAAATTAATATTTTGTTTGATTTCATCAAAAATTGAATTTTTGGAGTTCTTTGATATGCTGATTCTAACAATGTACTTAGATTTTGGATATTGGACCATGAAGGTAAATGTCCAATTTCAAATTTTTCAGTTCTTTGACCACATTCACTTTGTGTCACAAACCTATGCTGTGTCAAAAATTCAATCACAATCCAAATTCAGAGCTGTTTTAAGCTTAAATCTATTGTCCATACTTGATCAACTGTTCAGTGTTCGACCTCTGCAGGAAATCCAGTTTGCTGTCACTCTGACAGCCTCTTGTTTGAACCAACTTTCATGCTGATTTTCAATTACTTTTCTGGATGACAACTACCAAAACTTTTCCTAATGCATACATATATATGGGATTGATTACGATTTACTTTTCAATTTTTTTTGTACTTTGAATATTATTCTTTACAGTGCCATCTTTTCATTACTTAGATATAAGAAGATGTGGTATGAGTGCCAATGAGACAACTCTCCATCCAAACCATTCAAACGGGAAAAGCAACGGTCTAATCTATATAAAAAACGAGAAACACTTATGAACCACTTCAACAAACGACAACTACTGAACATCAAATTCCTGACTTAGGACAGGTGCAAACAATTGCAGCGGGGTTTAAATGTTTTAATGGTACCAAACCTTCACCCTTATCTGAAACATTAATGTAACATCACAACAGAGAAAGACACACTATAAAATATCAATTGAAATGGCTTAGTTTGATTTAGAAGTAAACAGTATCACATAAGATATAGACAGTGTTTTGATTGTTTTTCCATTATTTTCAGGCGCAACTACCATTGAAAAATATGATCTCAGAACCAATGCATGGACTCAGGTAGCCAACATGAATGGCAGACGACTACAGTTTGGTGTGGCTGTAATAGATGATAAATTGTACATAGTTGGAGGAAGAGATGGTCTCAAAACACTTAATACAGTCGAATGTTATAATCCTAAAAATAAATCCTGGTCACTGATGCCACCAATGTCTACTCACAGACATGGATTAGGTATGGACAAAAATGAAATAAGTTTTACAAATTAATTTAGAAAGAACAATTCTTTGATTTTAAATCAAGGAAGACTACTGTGGATTCATTTATTTTAGTGGGTTCCAAATTTTGTGGATTGAGAAAAATTGTATTTTCATTGATATTTGATTTCATGGTTTTATCAAAGCCTGCATACAAGCCTATAAAAATTTCATGCTTCATTGAAGATTTTATTTCTTGGTTCACGTATACCCAGGAAATCCATCAAAATTGCTATCTCACAAGTAATATTGAATCCACAGTATTTGTAATTGACAGGAGGACATTTTGTCTCATTCCTTCTCTTCCAAATTAAAACAAGTCCTTTTCCTCCCTTCTTAATTCTCACTAATGGTCCTATTTCTGTTAATTTAGGCTTCCACTTTCCTGATTCTTCACTCTGGGTTCTCCCTCCCCTGTCCCCTCCCATCTTCATCAATATTGTTATTTGCATATGCAGAATTTCTTAATTAAAAAACCCAAACATTGGAAAAAAAGAACTTTTTATGCCCCCACCGTAGCGGAGGGGGCATTAAGTTTTACCCTTGTCCGTCTGTACGTACGTCCCAAAAAATTTTTTCGTTCTCTAACTTTAGTTTGCCTCAACCAAATGTGAACTTATACACAATGCTTATTACCACAAAAAACAGATCAAGTTTGAATTTTGGTGGCGTCACTTTTACCGTTCTAGAGTTACATGTATATATGCCCCTTTACAAATGGAAAAATTGCTGAATTTTTCATTTCCGTCCTCTAACTTTAGTTTGCCTCAACCATATGTTATGAAACTTATGCAGAATGCTTATTACCACAAAACTCAGATCAAGTACAAATTTGGGTAGCGTCACTTTTACAGTTCTTGAGTTATATCCCTTTATAACGTTTTATGCAAGCGGGGGCATCATCTGTGTCCCATGGACACATTCCCCATTTATTTTACATGATTTGACCTTAAGTAGGTTACTGTGAGGTCATTTTTGTTTTCCACTGAAATAAACTTTTTGTTTCCCACTGAAAGAAAATTTTTGTTTCCCATTGAAATAAAATATTGGTTCCCACTGAAATAAAAGACAGTTGAATATTTTCATTTCTTTGATTTGGGATTGTTTTTGTCATCACAAAATAATCAAATGTATTGGTGCAGAATATGTAAGAAATTTAATACCCTATACCAATTCAAATGATGTATTTACAGGTGTAGGTGTACTAGAGGGACCAATGTATGCTGTAGGAGGCCATGATGGATGGTCCTACCTGAACACTGTAGAGAGATGGGATCCCCAGGCCAGACAATGGAGTTATGTAGCACCTATGTCTACATCCAGAAGTACTGTAGGGGTAGCTGTACTGTTCGGAAAGTAAGAAACAAATGGATAACAATAAACTCAGAATTATTTGCATCCAATTGTTGAGCAATGAACACAGATTAAATATTGCTATTTCAGACTAAATTTCATACTTATCATTCTATCAAAATTCAAAATGCGAGTTTGTTTTTTTTTTTTTTTTTGGCAAAATGTGTCCTGTTGCAATTTTCCCAATAATTAAACCATCAGAAAAATTTCTGAATTTACAATAATGTTCAAAATATGGCATGCTGTGAAACATAAGTCAGTTTTCAACTCAGAAGAATTAATTTACACAAGGGAGATAATTATTATATTTAATAAGAGATCTTTTAGTGGTCTCCCTTATGTTACTTGCCTTAGTGAAAAGATTTTCAAATGATTCCCATATGTTTCGTTGATTTCTTTATAAAAAACATGAAATTTTGAAATAATGTTCAATAGGATGTATGTAGGTTCTATGATATGAAATGTTTTTTTGAAAGAAGGCCAGAAAATTTATTAAGTATTTCATTATAGAAACAGCAAATATTAATTCAAAGAGAGATAAAAAAGTAAAAAAAAAAATCCTTACATAAAATAGTGTTATTTTAATATTTTATATTTCACGTATGATATTAAATAATTTTGTTTCTTTTTCAGATTATATGCAGTAGGTGGAAGAGATGGCAGCTCTTGCCTAAAGACAGTTGAATGTTTTGACCCTCACACTAACAAATGGTTACCATGTACATCTATGTCTAAGAGACGAGGTGGTGTTGGTGTAGCCACATGTGGTGGCTATCTGTATGCTGTAGGAGGACATGAAGCTCCTGCCACCAACCCTACATGTAGTAGATTTGAATGTGCAGAAAGGTAATAGACTATACTACTTCATCATTATAAATAACTGCGTCTTTTTAAGATGACGATATTACAGCAAAAATAGATGTTGACCAATAAAACAGATTTTAAATTCAGAAACTTCCATAGTGTGGTAGGTGTATTTTTCTTTAAACATAATATATGTTATTGTCATCAAATCAAACTTCGAAAAACAGTACAGCCACATTCACAAGAATTATTCAAATTCATTTAGTGCAGACATTCATACTGTTGACAAAAAAAACTAAAGAAACATGTCAACACAGCATATTGCTTCTCTATTACCTCAGAAAATTAACCATTTTAGTATCTCAATCATTACTTGGAAACTATATATATATATACATAGTGATTGTATGCTTCTAAAAATAGAACATCATCCTGTAATTATACTGAAGAGATAAGTAGATGATTATTCCTGTACACTTAAAAATACTTTGTGTATTGTAATTAGATATCCTTGTTTAAAAACTACGAGAAGGTATCACATCCCGAAATGAAAGCTGATTTTAATCAGCTATAGTTAGAGGAGGGGATAAGGTGTCTGCGCAATGCTAGGCAGTGTTGTCGTAGATGTGAAAAGTGAAAAATACAGGTTCCAGCCCCGCTCGGGGAAGAAGTAAAGAATCAGATCTACTCTAACATTGTTAGGTTGATTTCTAGGCACTTTATATATATATACTTATATATAGTAAATATTTTGAATGTTGAAAATTGTTTATCTTTAAACAGATATGATCCCACTTGTGACCAGTGGACAATGATATCCCCTATAAGTTCTCCGAGAGATGCAGTAGGACTATGTGTGTTAGGAGATAAGATATTTGCTGTGGGAGGTTATGATGGACAACAATACCTACAGGATGTTGAATGTTATGACCCTGTCAATAATGAATGGGATAAGGTTAGATAATAACTATTCTTTAAATAAATGTGTAAAGCAATTTGTTTAGAAAATCATAATATAAAAATAAGTAGATGTGGTATGATTGCCAATGAGACAACTATCCACCAGAGTCCTATTGACGTAGAAATTATAAACTTTTTTTTATATATAACTACAACAATGTTATACAAAAAAGTAGCTTGTACTTATAAAGACAGGCAAAAGTATAATTATTTTCATCAGGCTAACCCTTTTTAGAATCCTAAAGATATAACAAAAACAAAAACCCTGATGAGTCTCAAATTAAAATTGTGAATAGAGAAATAGCATTCAGTAGATGTGTAAAGGGCCTGGTAAAGGTCAGTGAATAGCAAAAGTTGACATCATACTGGTTCAGGCTAATTCATTGCTTATTGGTTTACGCTTTTAATCAGAGAACCATTTGGAAAAAAAGATGTCAATAAAATGTTTTACTATAAAACACACAAATTGATCAAAAGCATAAAACATCAAGATAAAATTCACAGCAGTTAAATTTAATATGCCTTTTTTTACTATTTTCCAGATGGCACCACTTTGTACAGGACGAGCAGGTGCTTGTGTTGTACATGTGCCGCACAGATGACTAGAGCGGAAATGGTCACTATCTTCGCTAAAGAAGTGGCCATCGGGATTCTTCAAAGGACGAAAACACAAATCTCATAACAGATTAAAAGATACAGATGCTATATGAAGTAGTTTGTCTCTGTATTAAAATGTCACCATGGTCAGACTAAAGGTTACATATCCAAACAGACTAAGAAAACATTGTTTTAAAAACATGGATAAAGACAGATCTGGCAAATTTACCTCCTATTGTTAACAAATTATTTTGCTGGACACTACTTGTATATAGAAGGGCATTCTATTTTTAGTCATTATCAATTACCAACACATATCCTCTTATACTTACTAATTTTTAGTATGATATGATTGTTAAGTAACAAGTAGTTCATTTACGGACTAATTTACTTTCGATATTATTCAAAGTAAGGAAAACTAATCTTGATGTGCATTTCCTAATGACTTAGAACTTATAAACTTTTTTTTTTGATATTACAGAACTACAACATTTCATTGGAATGCTCAGAGCTAAAAGTGAAAGTGTGTACATACAATGAAGCATTATGTCCTTCAGATTGTGTTATTATTAGATAAACTTTAAACCTATATTTTGTTTTTTTGTGATAAAAAGGTAGAAGCCTGAACATTTTTACCAAGTGCTATTATTGATTGCTATGTCAAACAATTGACAACTATTTAATTTTGTGCAAAACTTCTTTTGTTTCTGAGAGGATGGTCAAACAGTCCATTTTAATCCTGTTTAAATCAGTAGCCATTTTTACAACAAAAAATCATGAATGATTCAGTATAACTTATGGCTATTCCAGAAAAAACATACATGGTACTCAGGGAAGGCACTTTCATAATGGGGCAACCACCTATAGAGGCAAATTTAGAATTTCAATTTCATTTCCACTGTACTTGTCACCCACCCATAGTAGAGATTTCAAAGTGCCTTCCCTGGGTCCTATGTATGTTTTTATGGAACAGCCCTTTCAATGTTAGTAGTAAAATGTGTCATGTAAAGAATTACAAACATTGTCTACCTTTAAAGGTCATGCTCCTTACAGTATTATATCAATAATGACATAGTTATTTTCGAATTATAGTATCAATGCAAATGTTATTGTGCAATCTTTTTTTATTATATAAGTGCTATATTTTGTTTAGTGTGTGTGATAGAACGTAGTTGTTTTAAAGGTAAAACATGAAATATAATCAAATAAGTTTTGGTGTTTTCTCAGTGCCTTTTGAAATGATGGTGCCTTTCATAGTAATTTAAACATTAGACAAGAGTTTAACCAACTCACAATATTGTCGGGACCAAATTTTGATTTATTGTTATAAAAGTTTTTTCATGGTAGAAACTTGACTTTTTTTGTTTTGTTGTTGATATTCGTGTTTTCATTATGTGTAATTTTGGATTAATAATAAGTTTCATCATTTTAGTTCAGTTGTGGTTGTACATATCTTTAAATTTGCATATTCCATGTGTAGTGAATTCAATAAGACATTAAAAGTTCCTCCAGCAGATATTTACTTGTAAAGTTGTAGATACAGAAGTTGAAGCTTACATTATGATGCTATCTGTAATGAGGTTGATCACAATTTAGTTGAAATTTATAAAGGTTACCACTTCAAAATCAGAGTCCTTGCTACCAAAATAATTTTTCATCAATATCGTTAATATCATTATTTGAAGAAAAAAAATACTTCTGTTTAAAAAATATTTAAAGCAATTAATGAATATGTTTATATTGGTGCTATTTGTTTTTGATCTTCCATTTCCTATCAGACTTGCTCAAGTTCTGCTTATCATATCATTTTACATCGAATATTAAACATTATTAATAGCATATCCAGTTACCAAAACTGTGTGTATGTAAATAAGTTAGAATCAGATTTCTTTATATAAGTAGTTTAATGTTGTGGATAAAAATTATTGTCATAAATTGAAAATAGTAGTTTTAAATATAATTTTTTCATATTTTTGGTAGGACATTTTTATTTAGAAAAAACCACAGGACTAGGGATCCTAATTTTTATTTCGAAAAAAACACAGGACTAGGAATCCTAATTATCTATTTAGAAAAAAACACAGGACTAGGAATCCTAATTTTTATTTAGAAAAAAACACAGGACTAGGAATCCTAATTTTTATTTAGAAAAAACCACAGGTCTAGGAATCCTAATATTTATTTAGAAAAAACCACAGGTCTAGGAATCCTAATTTTTATTTAGGATAAACCACAGGACTAGGGATCCTATTTTAGCCTAATTATTTGTCCACAAAAAAATATAATTTTGCATTTTCAGCTGATTTGTTATATGAAATAAAACTTTTTAGTAAAAAAAAATTATATCAGCAGTGATTTTAGAGAAATTGTCGAAAATCATAAAAAAATGGTAATATTTTGGTCAATACTACCAAAATTTAAGTGTTGTCCCATTCTTGTTCCACAAAAATGATTTTTCCAATAATGCAATTGGTCAATATAAAGATGTGACAATAGTATTGTGATGTGGAAAGTTTGGGATGACCAATGCAAACTGAATAAATCTGTATTTTTATCAAATTTTAACCATTTTCAAACAATTGTAAATTTGCGTCAGTAAATTCACAAAGTGAAACAACTATTCAATCAAACTTATACATAAATCTATGAACTTTGGACATTTATCAAATTCATAAAAGCATTGACTTGAAAAAATTTGAAAAATGAAAACTCTCAAAAATGTTAGGCCAAATAAAGGCATTTAATCCTTGGCATTTCAATCAACATTGATTTATATTGATATGATTTTAATTTTATTTGGAATGAATAGAATGTAATACATTTGTAGTTAGAGTGTGACAGCTAATCCAAAATATCACTTCCATTGTCAAATCGTCTTCCTCTACAATTATTAGTATGTAAATAAGGAATAAATTATTTTTATATCATAATCAATAAATATCATATTTAAGATAAGTATCTTCAAATGCATGGTTAGGATAGATTTCATATGATAGTTAGGATAAATGTTTGTTTATATAAAAGTGATATAAAAGTGCTAAAAGTGCTACATGTCAGATTGTCTCATGTGTTCAACTCAGTCTCTCTCTTTCTGCTCAGATATAACAAGGGGAAATAACCACATTATATCTTAATTCTAGGTTAACATTTTTACAAAGTACCTGTTTTCCAATTGTGTTTTTGCTGTACATTCTTTTGTCAAAATTTTTATAAATTCAAAAATAGAAAAAGATTGTAATAAATGTTTTATTTAAGTGTTTAGAAAAATGTTGATTTGTTGATGGGACATTTACTAAAATATAATGGTTGAAATTCTTTTAACAACAAGTCTTGAAAAAACACTAAAAAGTAAATAAGCTTATATTTACAGTGATGCACATTTTATGCTGTCCAATTTTGGTCATATAATTTTTTCCCTGATATAATAATCTTTTCATTTGTAAAGATTGACAAGACGCCAAGAGATAATTTGTGGTTATTTCAATAATCTAATATTACAGTTTCTTTCGTGACTGTTTTTGAATTAGGATTTTTTTCAACATAGTTATCTTTGTGAAATAAAGCATATATCAGTCACAAAAATAGAAGAAACATGTAAATTGAAGCCACACAATAACTGCATAGAGATTTTTTCCAATTCATATAATTCTTTAAGTTAAATTTTCTTGCATTTTATACAGTAAAATTAATAAGGTAGACCTAATAAGTTCCTTTTTAATTTCATAGCAAATAGAATCTGCTCCTTTATCAACAGCTAAAAATTTTTCAATTTGATTTACTGTGGATTCTTGTTGAATTAGTTGATATAGATAAACCAAGAATTTGAATGTTCAACAATGTATAAATTTTCTGTTTATTTGTATGCAGACCTGGGCATACCCTGGAATCAAATATCCGCGAAAATAAAAATTTTCCTCAATCCAGGAAAATAAATGAGTCCACAAAAGCTGCTTGCATCAAGTAGCGGGACACCTTGTATGTTACCAAATTATTGTTTAAATCAATCCCTCCATAAATGTATGTACATATTATCTCATTCCTGTTTTGTACTTTATAATAAAAAGTCAAATAAAATTTTTAAACTATATGAGTGTTGCAGTTTTTAGTTTAAAACATTATAAGTGCATTGAGAATGCATGTTGGAATTAAAAAGGCATTATTACTCATGCATAATATCCCAAGTTCACTAACAGTGTGAAAAACACTTCACAGGATTGAAAGATATGAGGTATATTGTAAACCAACTAATTTTCCCCAGCGATCTATTTTGCCACTGTGCGAGTAAAACAATAAGGCAGATATGTATAACTGGAATCTTCACTTATAAATATATTAAGAAATTACAAAAATCACAAAAATAAAGTCGTCCAGAAAGGGCTAAATGCAAAAAAAAGTATCCACGAAAATAAGTTGGTTTACAGTAATACATTAGTTGGATATAAATCTTTTGTAGACGAAACGTAGACTGGCATACACAATTTTAATCCTGGTATCTATGATGAGTTTATATCAAACCAACACAAAAACCAAAATACATCTATAGGTCAAAATACAGTCTTCAACAATAGACAACATATCAAACTGTAAATCACCACTAGTCTTAAAAGATGTTAATAAATCTAACACAGACTACTGCCATCAATACCGATTTCTGTAGAGGTTTTCTCACAGAGGGTATCACCAGCCTAGTAGTTTGCACTTCTGTGTTGATATGAATTATCATTGATATGGTTATAATAAATTAACTGTTTACAAAACTTGGATAAATTTTTCTAAATATATACTAAGGATTTTCTACCCCAATTAGGAATAAAAGAAATTTGATTTGATTTGTATTTAGCAAATCCTTTAAGAATTTTTGGTCCTTAATGCACATGAACTCGTGTTTTATTTGGCCTTTTTAAAGCTTTTGATTCTAGTGTCAGTGACAAGTCTTTTGTAGATGAAACTCGTGTCTGGCACACAAAATTTAAGCCTGGTATCTATGATGAGTTTATTTCCCTATAAAATGACAAAACATTTAAGATATAATTAAGTCAACCACTAACCATATTTTTAACTCTGGACAGGTACTTTTTTATTTCATGCTTAATTGGCAACTTACATTTATGTAACTTTTAATGTTTGGTGACAAATTTAATTTATATCACTTCCTACATATGTAGATAAACGAAAGTCAAAAGATACCAAAGGGATTGTTAAACACATTAGTTGAATACAAACTGACAATGCCATAGTAAAAATGAAAAACAATCAATAGACAAACAACAGTATACAAAACACAACATAGAGACTAAAGACTGAGCATCACGAACCCAACAAAAAACCAGGGGTTATCTCAGATGCTCCAGAAGGTTAAAAAAATCCTGTTCAACATGAATCTTAATTAGGTAATATATAGTAATTATCCAGTCCATTCGACAGCTTTTGTTGTGTAGTACAACAAATCAAGCTTGCTTTTATGGCTTTTTATATTTTATCTGTCTTCTCATTGGTACTGCCGATGGCTGTTGAGTGAGCTAGGCATATGTCTTGTTTGGGAGGAATATAGGCATGGTATCTTTGATTACTTTTGTAAATGCAATGTTGTAATTTTAAGAATGAAATTCTATTTCTAATTGTAGATTTTCCAATGTATCTCTCCAGATTAAAGGGCTTTTAATTGTGAAACCAGTAGAAATCTTTCTATGCTGCACAATAATTCAAGTTTGTTTTTATGTGCAATAAAGAAATATTTTTACCATCTAGGTCACACGGTTGATGGTTTTAAAAGATATTTGCGGAAAATCAAACAACTGCAGAAATTAGAAATTGTGGTTCTTGTAATAAAATAACATTTGACATTAGCATGAACAGATCTATCATAATAACATATATTAATTAATTTTCTTCTAAACATTGTTTTGATTGTTATTTAACTATTTTAATGTGTTTTTAAATGGAAGTTAAACATACATTTTTTACACCAGTGAAAATTCTGTGTAAATGTGATGTACATGATTTGAAAGGGAGATAACCTTGGTCATTCTTTACATTGCCATCACAATCCATTTAATTTGTAACATCACTATCTCCCTTACATTTCATTGAGTAATTACTATAGAAAAAAAGAAAAAAAAACATAAATAATCCACAATGCACTGGTTAATGCGTTTGGAAAAAATGTTTAGAAAAAAATATTAATGAAATGACATTTTGATAGAAATTATCTTATTCCATTACACTGTACCTGCTTTAAATCAACAACCTACTTTGTCTACCAATGGGCTGAATCTGAAGAATCATCAGTTTGAAGAAATAAATTCAAACTAACTTGAAAACGTGTTTTGATCTATTTTTTTTTATGATAGAGCAAAGCCTTTTGACAAGTACTTCGACAAGAAGATAAAATATGGCAATGAAATGTCAAAACAGAGACAAATAACAATGCTATATATATGTCTCTGGTCAAAACAAGCATGTTTATATGATTCTTCCAACTGATCTTTAATACTTAGGTATTTGCTCACCTTTTAAGTTTCCTAGTAAACTTCATCTTTTTTTTCTGAAATACTTCTGATCTACAATCATGTAAAGAGTATTACTGGTACTTGTCAAATATTATCAATTGTGACCTATAACTAGTGCGTTGGCAAAAAAACACATTACAACAGAACAAATATCAATAACGAAAAACAAATTGAATAAATTGAATAAATGAGACAATGATGATGGTCTGGTGGGGGTTTTGATATTTCTCTATTCATTTTATTTTTTGTCCTTAGTTCTCTATATTCTTTATATTTTAGTACTTCATTATTGTTTCTTCTTTATTTTTTTATGCATATTTTTTCTCTTTTCTGTATTTTTTGTCCATTATGCTCCATTCTGTAGACCAATCCATATCCTTGATGTATACTGTAGTATCTTTTATCTCCAACTCATGTCAGGATGTAGATATATATTACTGAAAACAGGCAAATAATAATCAAGAGGATTGCAATCGTTAATGGTAATAATGTGAGATTTTTGTTTGTTACTTAAATCTTTTACCTCTGTCTTTTGCTTAATGAAGAATAAATTCTCTGAATCATATGAGAACAACATCAAAAACTTTAATTTTTGTCTGTCTTTCTGTATTCTGTATTTGTTTTGTACATTATGCTCCATTATGTAGACCAATCCATATCCTTAGTGTTTGCTGAAGTTTGTTTTATCTCAAACTCATGTCAGGGTGTAGTTATATAAATGAAAACAGGCAAATAATAATCAAGAGGATTGCAATCGTCAATGGTAATGCTAGTGAGGTTAACTATGTTCCTTAAAACTTTTTGTCTTTTGCTAAAGGTAGAAGAAATTCTCTGATTTTTGTTTAGAATAACAACAAAAAACGACAGAGGAGCACGATGTGTACCTATAGGAATGGTTATAGGATACAACCAAACACAATTTTTGGCATGTTTTTCTCTATTCTGTTTTTTTTGGCCTGTTTTCCTCTATTTTGTAGTTAGTGGTGTGTTTTTCTCTATTTTGTATTTTGTGGCCTGTTTTCCTCTATTTTGTATTTAGTGGCCTGTTTTTCTCTATTTTGTATTTTGTGGCCTGTTTTTCTCTATTCTGTATTTTGTCGCCTTTTTTCCTCTATTTTGTATTTTGTGGCATGTTTTCCTCTATTCTGTATTTTGTTGCATGCTTTCCGCGATTTTTGTATTTAGTGGTCTGTTTTTCTCTATTTTGTATTTTGTGGCCTGTTTTCCTCTATTCTGTATTTTGTGGCCTGTTTTCCTCTATTCTGTATTTTGTGGCATGTTTTTCTCTATTCTGTTTTTCTGACCTGTTTTTCTCCATTCTGCATTTTTGTGGCTTATTTTCTCATTGCTGATTTTTCCCTGTTTTTATGTACTCTGTATTTGTTTGGTCCATTATTCTCCATTCTGTAGACCAATCCATACCCTTAGTGTTTGCTGAAGTTTCTTTTATCTCCAACTCATGTCAGGATGTGGATATATTAAACAGCCAAATGATGATCAATAATATTGCCAACGTAAATGGTTATGTTTGAGAGGTGTACCTATAGGAATGGATATTACTGTTAAAAGATACAATCGAACACAATGAAAATGTCTCCTAAAAATTCGAGCATAACATCATTTGTTCTTCGGTTATATCTTATGTTTTATTTCGTATAAACGTGGTATGTCCAAGAACTACTCATTTTCAACTTAGATTGCCATTTTTGTCATTAAAGACAATTATGTCTTTATTGCTTGAGTCGTAGAAAATCAACTAATTTCCCAGCAATGTCTGCATTTCAGGTTTCTAAATAGCTGCAAGGTGATTTTCAGGACCATCTTTTAGTTTTAGTCTCAATTTAATAATCTCTTTCAAAATACTTTTGTAGACATTTTGCGACGGTAGATAATTTTGTTAATTCAATTTCATATTAGATGGGTTCATTTTAGTAAAGGGATCGGCTATACAAATTTTTGATTTATAGCTGTTTCGTTGCTCATTGGAACATCAAAGAGATTATAAACGTAAACTAATTTTGATAATCTAAGATTCAATAAATGTATTTTAAATGTTATTATGTTGTCGATCAGATTCCCAGAAATGTTCACTAATACCCAGGTCTTTATTTGACATATGTAGCAACATACCAAAACTCATCAAAGATACCAGGCTTACATTTTGTATACCAGACGCGCGTTTTGTCATAAAAGACTCATTAGTGACGCTCGAATAAAAAAAGTTAGAAAGACCAAATAAAGTACGAACCATTGAGGACCCAAAATTTGAACCATGCAAACCAAGAAAGTCGCGGAAAGCGAAATATAGGGATTGCTGCTCCGGCGACGGCAATGTCGTCAACAATTGTTAAGTCTTCTGCTTAAGTTAGTTTGATAAGAACTTCTTGTGATAGATCAATTATATTTTGTATGAAGTTGCATTACTATCAGTACATATCAGTTAGACAACAATTTTGAGGCCCTACCCTCTAGGTCATGGTCCAGTGACTTTGAATTAATTAGCAATTTTCAATGTTAAGTTTTAGAGGAGTATGATAAGTGCCTATATGAACGACTTTTTCTGTTCAAGGATACAA